GTGTCTTCAGGGGTAAACGCTATCAACTGTCAAAACTTGACACTAACTTGATAGTTAAAACCAAAACTTATTTTTTCTAAGTAAGGATATTAAAAGAATATTTCAAAGTCAGCAGAATCACCTTCTTTATCTATTAGAAAAACGAAAAGGCTGTAAGACTTCTAAAATGTTCACATTGTATATTCAGACAAAATTGTACTTACCTAAAACTAAATTTCATCACAGAACTTTCAATAGATGATAATATTATGACTACGCACTAAAACCGATGGTATTAACGACTATCGATCTGTCTTCAACTTCCCATGTAATGGCTCTGAGTCACAAGTGGTGAAGTGAGTTGGGTCACGCTCCTAGAGATCGTGTCCAGTTACCATGGCAACCGGATCTGTGATTAAATGTTATTTATGAGGTATTAATCTGAAACCGTTGTTATGGTTTAGTGGGCTAACTAATGAGCGACACTATTCCATGATTTTATGGATTATCATACATTTTGTTGCTTATAAAATTTTGGCAATTTGTTTTTTATGGTTAATGGGAGGATCTTTTTTTAAGGGGGGGAAATCATCGAATGACTTCTCCCGCCTGGGTGAAGCGGGAGGGAGTGTCAGGCTCTTACTGACTAAAAATCACCCCGTTCCTAGTCCTGAACTTCGAGCCGGAGCCTCAGTAATCCGTTAAGTTCTTCGCAGCTCTGAATCGGCATCAGCCCTCTATGGTCTTCTGATGGCTCTTTGATTAAATGCCTGTTTGATTTAATTGAAATTAATTGTTTGTTTTAAAACTCATTTTCGTAGGTATTAAGCTACAAAAGAGATTTAAAAAAAATTAAGGCGCAATATACACCAGTGGTATGCCAAAATAATGATCTGAGAATGATCTGGTATCATCTTAGTCATGGAGACTATTGGAATATCACAACAAATTAAATGTGAGAGAGCCATGCTTCGGCACGAATTGACGGCCGGGTCGACCGGAGTGATATAACGGCCTCGTAGAAAACCGACGTGAAGCAACGGTTGCGTTGTGGAGTGTTACTGACGTGAGATTCCTGGAGGCCCAATTACCCCTTCTCCTTCCCCAATCTTCCCTATCCCTGAATCCCAAACAATCCTCAAACTCCTAATCCCCAAAAGGCCGGTACCGGTAACGCACTTCGCCTCTGGTGTTCCAGGTGTCCATGGGCAACACCGATTGTTTACCATCAGGTGATCCGTCAGCTCGTTTACCGGCTTATACCATAAAAACGTGATATTGTAAAATCACATCATTATTACAATTTCAAATTTGCAGATCACGTTTGACATACGCGAAGACACAAAGAGAAATGTTTTAATATTCATGTAGCAGCGATGTTTGTTCCCATTTAGATCCACGTGCTGTATTCCACTGATGAGAATGGAGACAAACAATGGAAAACTGTGTGTTTAGAACTGTTATTGTTGCGGTGTAGTTTGAAAATACGTAGACGAGAACAATATTTTGTAACTGAAAACGACATAGTGATTGCAAGTGAAATATTTTATAATAACGCTCAATCACAATGATCAAGCACCGTACAAAACTCGGGTATTGTAATTTTGAGCATATAAGAGTCATTTTTGATTATCAGACACCATGTTTCATGTAAGATTTGAAATCCTTCACGTCATAATCGTTATCTAGGTGATATATGCTGGAATACTGAAACGTTACTCAATTTTAAGTCGTGCTTAAATATCGTGCCATCTCTGTCTTTTTACAGAGAATTTGAAGTTACTGAACTACACTTAAGCGTGACTTAAAATTGAGTAACGTTTCAGTATTCGGGCAATACTTACGTGTGCTTGTCTTCATGACTTGTCGTACAGGACTTGTCTTGACCAGTTTTCATGCGACAGCTAACGTATCAATCAGCCACTTCTAGTACTACTTTCAATCACTTGACCAAAACGACAATGAATTATAAGAAAAAGGAAAAGAAAGGATAATATAAAAAGGAAATCAAAATACAACCTTTATTTATCAATCTTGAATGATACTCCAGCTCAAGGAGGTATGAATGAAGTTTCCATTAGCTGATGGGGTGAATCTTTTATTCAGAATGGGTAGCAGCTCCGCTGGATTTTATTTCCTTTTGCCGAAAGTAACTTTTTGAGTTTAGCCTTCGTTTCCTATTGAATAAATTCGATGGAAAACGTTTATTTATAGATCGTTTTGTTGAAGATAGACGCGCCTAAATATCTAGGTTTCAATGTCCTTGAGTTTATAGAATAGTAAATATTTCTATAATATTATAGTAAATTTGTGTCAAGAGATTTTGAGTTCTGAAGCTACTGTTGAAGTGCCTATGGGTAATTTTATTAAGAGACATTGTTATTGTAATGGTGTTGACGTATCGTAATGTAATGATGGACACGTAGGTACCTGGTATATGCCCGTTTCGTGGTACGGTAGAGCGACTCATATCTTAAACACGTTAAGTGATTATTTATTTATTTATTTATTTATTTATTTATTTATTTATTTATTTATTTGTTCATGTACACAACACAGACAATACACAGAAAAAAAAATATATAATAACAAAACAGAGGTACATAGGTACTGCATATCCCTTATGGGATTTCTTCCTGCAGCCCTGCGAAAGGAGAAATAAATACAACATATGACACAGTGTGTAACAACAAAAAAAAAAAACAAACAAGAAGAAGACAATGAAAACTTAAACTGATAATTAAAATTAGATTAACCAAAATAATACAATATTATATTTATACATACAATATGTAAATAATATATAATACATAATATACATACGAAATAACACAATCTGTACTTAATAGGAAAGGTGATAATGTTCCCTCACACATTTACTTATAAGACAGCAAAAACGAAACAAAACTAAAATATTGTGTTTATTGAGAAATCCCATTACACATACAACTGGGTAATTAAGTAACCTCTGTAGGACATTGAAAATGAAGTAAAACCAAATGTTTACGAATTTGTTGGATTAGGATGGAATACTGTAAAGTAACGCCTTATTCTATTAGATTCTATAGATAAATTCCCGGTTTTCGATAAAGTACATAAAACCACACTACATTGTCAACTTAGGATTATTACTTCCAATCTAGATAAATTAAATCTACATACTCGTAACCTTTGTGGTTATGAGCAGACCGAGGTTAGTCTCTAGACTACAATTTCATAGGGTTAAATAATCTCTGTGAGGATTTTCACAAATATTAATGGAAAATAATCTCAGTACACTTAGAATACAACAAACAATATACCTTTTTGTTACACGAATAACAATTAATAGGCTTACAATAAACTTCATTTATGAAAGGATATAGGGGCCGGTCGTATCTTTTGGCAAAGATCTTTGGTAGATTACTTATGTATGTATTAAGAATATTAAAACAGAATAATATATAAAATCAAGTTTAGTAGGCCCGGAGGCTTAGGACGCCTGCTTCTCATGCATGAGGGTGCGATGGTTCGAAACCTACCAACGGCAAGTACCAATGTGACTTTTTCCGTGTTATATGTACTTTCGAAGATTATCTAGACACTACTGACAATCGTTGAAGGAAAACATCGTGAGGAAACCTGGGCTTATAATTTCTAATATTATAAGTTTGTAATCGCCAACCCGCATTGAGCAAGCGTGGTGATTAATGCTCAAACCTTCTTCGTGTGATAAGAGGCTTTGCTCAGCAGTGGGCATTTATAGACTGTTGATATAAGTTTAGAATCCCTTAACGTAGTAGGAAAGAAAAACTGCAGACATTAATTTACATCCTGCATAATGTCATTGCTATTTTTGACAGCACAAACTCTTATCTACATCTAATAAACCTTCGTAAACCAACGTTAGTAAATTACGGGGACCAAGTGCCAAAAATTTTACCAAAAAGTCACGTCTATTACGAAAATGAAATTCGAAAATACGAAAACCATAATGAGGGTCGTTAATGACTGCGGCACGTTGAAGATGCGGCAGAATTCTAACAAGCGTTTGAGCGTACTTTACAAAACTGATAATGTAATAGAACAGCTAGAGCGAGGGCGCCAGATTACAGAAGGGCGCTGCAAGAAGCGAGTGCTCAACTGCCTATAAAGTGGCGGTTTTTTTAAGGGATAAAATCTTACTGACTAAAATTAACCTCGTTTCTGATCTTCGAGCAGGAACCCCGGTAAACCAAAAACCCAGGGTAATAGCAAGTAGCGGCAGCGCTAAAAATTCGGGGCGCCTACGGCGTGCTCGCCTAGGGCGCTTTCTAGGTTATAATCCACCTCTGGCAACAGCATTAGATATTTATGAAACTGCTTTAAATTGTGAGGCTATTAAGAGAAAAGATGATATCGCAGTTTCGATCAAGGTTGTTTCAAATTAAACAGATGTATTTTAAAGCGATGAATTTTGAAGGTACGAGGTTAAACAAAGTTAGGAACCAGGTAATAAGTTTTTGGGAACGATATACTGTTGACTAGGGGTTAGTTTGTTTACGGTATGCTGAAAATGTTATTTACTTCCAAAAGGGAAACTGTTGAATTTGTAATGTGTGGGTGTTTTGCAGCCTCTACTTAAATACGAAGTTCTCGAGCGTTGTTGTAGATTTGACGTCCATCTACAAATTATAATGTTGGAATATTTAAAATTCACTGCCCTTAAAAGTATTTTTATTACTGTAATAAAATGTAGCATACCAACTAGTACATTATTTACAGTGACATTAGGTTTTTAGCATAAAGGCGTAATTTGAATTTTAGCCTCCTATTATGTAAGCTGTGGTTTAAACTGCCAACACCGCGAGGACACCGGTGACCGCAACCTTTTGTTCTTTAATTGTATCTATAATGACGGTACTCAAAGGGTGTACTCAATTTTTCTGTTACAATTTCCAAATTATGCCACACTTTGACTTTTAAATCGAAGTATTTATTATTAAATATACCGTGAAACTTAGAACCTCATACAATTCTAACTAAACATTTTCCCATTCCAGCTGCCAGCATCAACGAAACATGCATGTTTAATGAACAATGTGAGGACGTGTACTTCAAGACAGAATGCAGGAACGAACGATGTGCTTGCAAGTTCGAGATGGTACCCGAGGTCACGGTAGATGGCTCTGTCATCTGCACGTGTAAGTTTCAACGACTTGTTTTATTCAGTACAATATTTTATTCGCTGCTTTTTCTTTTTTGAACAGTAAACAATCTTTAGTACTGTTTTTCGCATATTTATTTTTGGTTTTCACGAAGGCTTTTGGTAAAAAATACTTTTTATTTGTGAGAAAAGTGTTATTAAACTGGAAATATTTCTAACTTAACACATTTAATAATTTTTTTATTTCTTTCAAAAACTCTGCACTGATTTTTCCTGATATTCCTGATAAGTATATAAGTAATTTTTATAAAAATCTAATAACTTAATTTGCTCGTAGCACGTATAAGTAGATTCCTGGTTATTGATAGTTGGTTTTTTAATGCTTTCAGCGGTGAAGCCGGTGGAGGAGTCGACAAGGACTCTGGATCCAGCTATGATCGGAGTCCTGGTCGGCATGGCGCTCATGTTTGTAATCATCTGTGTGGTACTGCGGCTGTTTAGCAGGTAACATCATCAATAATTTTGATTAGATTAAAACAAAACCATATCACATCAACTGATTCCTGACTTTTAAGAAAAACAAAGAACGAGTCAAGTTATTAACTAAGTAAAATAACGTAACAATATAATTTCAGAGCGAGATGGCGAGAAAACCGAACGATCTTCAACACGCCCAACCCTCGACTCATGAACGTGTCCTTGCTGAGAGACTCCAAGCTATTGCATTCACAGGTAAGATATAATTTAACTACAAAGTTTGCACAGTTACTATAATGCATGTACCCTGATACGCAATTCCCAAGTCTCAAAAAAGTCGGCAATGCACCTGTAATGCTTCTAATGTCGTGTAGGTGTCCATAGCAATAATTCCTCCCAGTATCCTCACTCAGACCACGATTAAAATAAGATCCTGCTTAACGTCTTCTTATATTCTTTGCAGACAAAATCATGTCAAACTCTTTACTAATTATAACTGAGCATTTCTTCTTTTGATTCTAGGATCGCCGAGGTTCTCGCGTCAGTGTTCGTCCCCCATCGAGGCAGGCGAGCCAGCAGGAGCTGAGACCTCATTCACCAGGTCCAGGTATCACTCCTGACCAAAATATATGACTGAGACCCTAGACCGTAGGTGTACTGTCTTATTTATGTATTTATTCTAGAGGAACTACTTTTTATTCACGATTGAAATTTATATTCTAAATGTATACTAGATTAACGATAATTTCCAGTCAGACATTCATTTCTCAATCTTATACTGATGGCTGAGTGATCATACTTAATTGATCCGATATTATTACAATTAAATGACTCAGGATAATGAAAGTTATGACCTTTGGAAACTAAATAAACGTGGGAACAAAAAAAATATCAGAAATAAAATAATACGATACGATAAGAAATAAAATACGTTGGGACGGTTTTGGAATAAAAAGACTTTATAGTTAGACATAGTAATAAAATGTGGTTCCTTTTAAAAAATGTGTCTCTGTTTTTTTATGTTGTGTTTTTTGAAATGTTAATAGTACAGTAAGTTGCAGAAGTAATTCAAATATATCTATCGAGGCTTGAGTACATTATTATTTAGTGCACATCCTACAAACGCCAGCCTCGCTATTTATTTTTGCAGCAGACTGTATTTTGTGTACTGCACCCAAATTATGATGTGATAGATTTTCGATTTATATGTGTTTTACAAAAATCTAAATGTGGTGTTTTATGAAAATTCCTTTTGTACACTATTTACGGGAAACGGGCAAAATAACATTTTTGTTTGGATTATGTTCAAGAATTACACTAATATTCGTATACTTTGTGTCACTACACTTGCATATTACACACACGTTCCATACCTATTATTGGACTCAAGTATCTCACACATGAGACTCACTTAGTTTTTAATCAAATTTCCGTGGTGCTTGGCAATTGGGCTTCTCCCAGTTGTACAGTCTCTTAATTTAATTAATTCTGTTCCCTGCAGTAATTCACCGACGAAAGTGGAAACTATCGTTTTATTTTCTTCTCTTATAATATCTTCTGATTCACATCAGTGTTCCCGTGTTTTTTTAGGTTGTATCTACTGTAGATCCTGGCTTACAGGAGTTGCAGCGGTTTTGAGACGTAGTGGCGGGCTTGAAGAAAAAAATGGTTGCCTGTAAAGTCGTTTTTACGGGCGAAGATTTTACGTGACAACGTCTTTTTCTCGGTAGAATATTTATTGATATGAATATAATTAAATTGCACAATAGGAACAAGGAATTGAATGAACTAGTGCTGCGCGCGCGGCAGACCGATCATAGTTGAGTGGGAGAGAGACGCAAGGCATTCGGCGGGCCTCTCTCTCGTTCGGTGACTCATCGTAACGTTACCGAGCGATACACTTTTTCATAAGTGACTCCCAGCCGCAACCTAATTTAAGACGTTGTCACGTCAAAAATTATACGTTCCATATCCATTTAACTTAAAATTATTGTTAAATACATACGTCTCATACTCTTCTCTATAAAATAAGCACATCTTCTAATATCTATAAACGAGCAAATCTCGTATATGTATGTATAATATTAACGACACAGGAAACGGCTCCATTGATTTCCTTGAAATTTTGTATTCGGTGCTTCTCAGGGGCGATAAATCGATCTAGCTAAGTTTCAATTCAGAAAAAGTAGTTTTATCTATGGTTTCATTAAATGGAATCCTCCTATAATAGTATTAGAATACGAAACTAATTTCGCCAATACAAATAACATTACGATACCTTCGGTCGGGAGATCGGGTGCCTTCTATGCAGGTCACTAAGCTTTAATCTTCGGTCCAAATGTTTCTTTTATTTTTCCTGTTTTCTATTTTATCTTTTTGTTTTCGTTCCTATTTTTTGTTTTTCACGGGTTAAAAAAAAATACGTACTTACTAAAAAAACACCGAGCTAAGCTTGGTCATGCAGGTACCAGCTAGCCCAAGTATTTGAAGAATATCATAGGTATTCACTGTCGACATTATAAGTCTAACTATTCAATTTTGTATCCAAAGTCCCACAAATAAGACTTGCTTTTGTAATGAAAACTTTCTGTCAGTAACGTCCTTTTACCAAATTGCCCGTTTGCCGGTTCACTGACAATGCTAATCATGATTATTTCATGTATCAACAGCACGCCACCATCAAAGTCATCAGCTACACCGAAAACCCTCAGGTTACATACGAAATCATTTTGCTTGTTATGCTGAATATATTTTGAACTCTATCGACATACTAAGTCAAGGTCTTTTGAGTTCAGATTCGTTTGAAATTTCTGCTTACTTAGATACTAAAATAAATATGCTAAAAAGCAATTTTCTTCCCAAGAGTATCGACAAAGACTATTGTCAAAAGGTCGAATAAATGGTTTTCTGAATGTTTCGAGTATCTAATTTTGAGCCTAAAAGACCTTGATTTGTATGGATCGATACAAAATATAACTTCGATACAGATAGATAGTATGTAGGCACACAAATAACTTGCACACTTTACTTATAACAAAATTATAAAAGTACTGGATTTAGTAATGATTTTACAATTTGATGGCTGTATTTCTTGTAGATTGGAATTCACATAAATTAGCAGAATTATATTGATGTGTTACACAATACTCCGTTACACAATGTATAATTGTATATACATTGATTTTAAATAGAGTTGAAAATATATCAACTAAAAACTTACTAATCGTAGCAATTGTCAACACAAAACAATACCTACAGAAAATATTTTAATAAACACACGCATATTATAGACAACACATTTTAATTTTCTGTGTGCTGTAGTTCCTATTTTATACCTCTAGAATAAAGTATCAGATCTGGTCTGCAATTTTGTCGTCCTTTAAATCTCTTTAGATGAATGGCATGAATGCTAGTCGATAGACACTGACAGTTGATGAACGATATGAAGTCAAGACTATTGGTCACCAGTCACCACCATTGTCTTTTCTATTCTCTTGTTCGGCTAGCGTTCAAACGTCATTTTTTAAGGGAAAATATTACAAAACCTTACCTGACTATCTTACTATTAAGTAGATATTTTTATTGTTTCTTGGCTCTATTTAATGAATTGAATTGCCGCTACAAATAGATGTAATATTACGCTTAGCAATTGTCGCCATTTTTATTACAATTTTATACAAAACTGTAACTTAGTCATTAACTTCATTCCTATTTAGAGTATATACTATCATTAGTACTCCATCCAAGGATTTTGCAAATGTAAAATATCTGAGAATTTCAAGCATGATAAATATTTCTCTATCAATAGTTCGAGAACTTATTTGAAACAGAAAGTTACTAAACTCAATAGATAAAACTATTTTATTCATATAATACTGAAATTTAACTTTCTAAAGTAAATCAATTGACGTGGAATATAGCTTCTCATTCATAATTATGATACTCCATTAGACAAAGAGAACTTTCACGGCATGCGATCCTTCTCGAAATCATGCCCAAAGCATGCTTTGCCTTCATCGTTTTCTTTGAGAACAGTCGGTCTTACTTCTTTAATTGTGCTTCCAGGGTCTCGACGCGGATCAAGAGCTAGTAGTGGACACTCCGCAACGTCCCTACGATCGGCAACTCTCAGATCCCCGACAACCCCAGGACCAACATCAGTCACCGTCGAAATTCGCGCACCAGAGGTGTAAAACAAATAAGACGTTATCAAAACGTTATGAATGATTAAAATTATGATATACAACACCAGAATGATAAAGTTTTGCGAGCTATGTTAAGGGATGATGTAAGTGATGATTGTAAAGATACATCCGAGATAGTGTGTCAGATAAATGAGAAAAGTACTGTAAAAACCAGTCCATCGTTTAAATTGTTTGTGATATATAATTATACCGATGGTTCAACAAATATTTAGGCTTATATTCATCCATTTTATAGCAATAATAATGCACTATATCTGTCGTTAATTCAGCCACTTGGAAAGTGCCTCAAATTACATACAATTTTGAACTCACATGATTATAATTTTGGTAATAAGATAAATAAATTAATAACACAAAACTTAGTAAGTAATGTTAAAGTAATAGATAATAACACATTCACAACCAATATAAGATCACGTTTAATAGATGTAGTGCACAGTTCAACAATTCATAGATTTAAATGAAACTAGGTTTACTTACGTAAGCTTTTTTAGCAATAAAAAGGAAGCTTTTTGGCAAACATTATGTAGTTTGATAGTTTTAAATTGTCGATTATTAATAGGTAAGTCAAGTAACGGCTTCTTCTTTTCACTATCCCATGTAAGTACATATGCTAGATTCTACTCCCTGCCTTAGAAATAACGTTTAGCTTACAAAATAAGCATCGTATAACTAAATATTTATTTACGGGGACCATCCTCCACGTGGGAGCGATCAGAATTTTGAACGGTGGATATTTTAATAAAAAAGGTGGGAAGCTTCGATGCCGCTTTCGAAAATCTACTATAAGACTTTTAAATTTTAGCTTTAAGAACTATAAAAGCTTTTTTTTTTCAAACCATTTCTATGAGAGAGAGTTGTGAATCGAAATTAAGATTTCATTACTTACTGAGTTCTTTAGTATCATTAGTCTCTATCGATGTGTAAAACGGGGAAATTTACACAGAGTATAAACATTATCTATAACTATTTGATAGGTTACTTCATTGCACCTCTGATGCTTAGACCAAATTTTATGCAATGCGCACAAAATGTGAGTACATTTAGTGGTTCTGCAATAAACTATGTACAACTGCGAGAGGCATAAGAGAAATGTATAGAAAAATATATAAATTATAAAAAAAATAACATCATGTTCATTAAAAACGTATGGGAAATACTTCAATTAAGGGGAAGAATTGACGTATGGCCGATACTGAATCATTCACCATGGAAAGATAATTAAATACTCTAAGCTATTGTACTTTAACATGATAAAATATGCTCACATTGTGAAAAATGTATTTCGTACACTGTGCTAGATATTATGTACCTACTGAAAATTTACGCTGTAATTTAATTATATAAACTTTTATTATAATATAACTTATACTTCCCAAAATTGGTGTTTCATTTCTAGTCTTTATCCTTTTTTTCGCTATCGATAGAATAATCAATAGCAGAAAATAGATTATTTTATGATCGTCTAGTTTTAACGGTTCATAATAGGTACCAATAATATTTTTTTTAAAACGTTGCCCCGTACTTTGATTTCTGTAGTTACTGCGCATGCCTCCGTTCCTTTTTATTGTAGTGGAAGTTTCATAAGGTTAAAATACAAGCCTATTGATTCTAAAGTAGCTGTGTATTTAGTCACCTGCCCTTTGTTGTTAGTTTCATCACAATATCACAGATGGCGCGAATCTTGATTTCTATCACATTATCAAACACTGGTTCGACACTACAAAATACTTCCTAGCCAAAGTCTTCTATCGACTCAAATTGTGACTTAGGGTGTAGCTACTAGTTCACGAAATATATTGCAGGTGGCGCAGTTTAATATAAATCAAAACCAGAGACGATGTTTCAGATTTCTTAAGCCACTCTTCTGTAAGTAATCGTGTAAAAATTACATTGTTTGTGAAAAAGAAAAGAAAGAATGAAAATGGTATGATGGTAGACAACGGTTTTCAATTTTGATCGTCATGGTACTAATTGAAATGTATGCGTAGATAGAGGTGTCCTTACAACACATATTTGTTTCAGTTACGTTATTGGTCCCCTAGTGCAATGGTATTTTGACCTATGAAGAAATTAAGTAGATCTTTACCACGGTTGTTGTATTGACTACTTGACCAAAACTTAGCAATTATCTATGGACTGTACTCAATAGTATGGACTTGAATTTAATACCTTATAATTGCAATGTTTACCAAAGCTTATAATTTCGTTGATGGTGTTAGCAGGCAAGTGATTATTTGTATAAATTAACTAAAATCGCGGGTTACTCACTAGCTTTCAGTGAGCTGCGCGACATCGCACCGACCGCGCACGCGTCTCATGAAGAAGAACCCCTCTGTGGTTCGAAACTAGTAGAGCTTTTCTCAGTATATTCACGTAAATAACCCGCGATTTTAGTTAATTTAGTATGTCTCACGGTAGTTATTACAAAAATCATTTGTGTAAAGTAATACATGCTTTACCTACGTACGAATTCTTCTTTATCCAAAAATCTCAAAAATATCTAATAGATACCATCAAGAAACCCGAACACTTACCTAAATCACAGTACACCAACAGAAAACACTCAACACAATATGAATTCAATAAATGTTAAACATTTTCTATTTGAAATAAAACTAGCAAACAAGATATTACCTTCAATACACGCGTCTATACGAAGCAACAAAAGTTGGGAAGCAAATATCTTATAGTATGCGAGCAAACAGACTCACAAGCCTTGAAGATGTATGGAAACATACGGTGCTTGCAATGGAAGGCAAAACGTGGGTCTATTTATTGTTTAAGAAATAGATCATGTATAATTGCACATAATTTTTTACTGGTAATTTGTAATTCATTATAAACTTGTCTTCAAGATTTAGGAAGTTTTAATTCTGCATTACCTAAATAATCATTATTCTGGTAGCAACGTTTTCTAATAAAGCTGGACAATCCTTTCAATCTGCGATTTCTTATCCCTCGAGGATCGAAGACGGGCTCTTCCTAAGCGTGGAGATTGCGGCGAAGCCTTCTTATGTAGAGGAGGCCTATAGTTTAGCACTAGAATGTGACGGAACGTAGGACAATCGGACGAATGAATCAAATCTTCATATTATAATGTGACATACGTCTTGTAAATTCCACTAACAACACTAAAAAGGTTAATCCACCATCATTAGTTAATATATATAATAGTGGTGGAAACCACTATCATCAGCAGTTTAAGTAAGGTTTCTTCAGGAATTATAAAATTTACTTTTGCATTTTATAAACTCAGACGGATCCGTCCAAACCACCTCAGTCGTACATTTCCACAGCGGTTGCAGTCAAGAAGCTTATACTCGGAACTGGGACAGTGTGGGAACTCACTATATTTCAGTTTCCACTGAATTTTCACTAAGTCCGACATTCACGGGCTCTCTTTGAGTTAACATTATTTATTCTAAGTTTTAGATGTAAATCTTGAACTCGTTCACCGCAGCTGCGCTGAATAATTCTAAACTGTTATTCTTGTGTGAACGAGTTATATTCTTTTTCGTATTGGCCTTTGGAATTGAATAGTGTAGTAACTGCATCGTAGTTCAATCGGTCGGTATGTGTTCTACCACGATAACTCTGGCTAGGTCTTCAGTACAAATTTTTATACTTAGCATACGGAACTTTACGGTTATTGTTGGGCTGTGACCGTGAGTATCTTCTTTATTAGAAGGGCTTGCCAAAATTTCAACCTTTTGAGTGGTTCAGATTTATTATAGAGCGCTGTTAGGTATAACCTAGTCTCTATTAAGTGAGTAGTACCTTAGTCGGCTTTTATAAAACTCACTAGGCAGTAATGACAGCAGCGTTTGAATTGAAAATTATTAAAACGAAAAAACTACATTTTATAAATAAAATAAAAAATAGTGTAACAATACTCCTCTCTCAAATCCTATTTGGTTTCGTGATCTCATTACGAGAGCACTCGACTGCAGATCAGTGTTGAGCACTCAATTGACTTAATTTTTTCCAGCTTCAATGTACTGCTAATTAGGGTGGAGCCTAATCGTATTGCCCTGGCAGTCTGATGGACCTTCTTTTATAGATTTTATGGTTACCGCCTGTCTAGTTCAGAGCTTATTCCTTTTACCCGACTTGTGAAGGAACTTCAAACTTATTTTGTTCTTTCTTATTTTTCATTATTAGAAACTTCTTATGTGATCTTTCGTTGAACAGACTTACCTTTTACTATATAGTACATATAACTAAAGTCAAATAAGTATATGGTATATTTATTTTTTAAATCAGAAGAACAAAACAACTTCTGAGTCATCATCATCATCATCATCAACAGCCGAAAGACGTCCACAGCAGGACAAAGGCCTCCCCCTTAGTCCTCCACATCGAACTACAACTCGCCACCTGCATCCAGTAACTCCCCACAACTCTGGCAATATTATCGGTCTACCTAGCGGGAGGCCTGCTCACGCTTCGTCTTCCAGTCCGTGGTCTCCACTCAAAGATTTCCTGGTCCATCTGTCGTCAGTCCGTCTTCGTCCGTACTTCTGAGTACATAATCATTAGAGTCTGTATGGTGCAATATAATTATAATTATATTCACATTACCCCTTAACTAATTGATCACAAAACAACCATAAATCATAATTCATTGTAATCCGTCGATGCGGACGAATTTGACGATGCTTTATGTAAATAGTTGTTTTTGTTTTTCCTATAATTAATTCAAATCTTAAGTTGTATATATTTAATTTAGTAGTAATATTTAGTTTTAATTTTATTTAAGTAATAGTTAGTTTTAATTTTAGTTTTTTATTTAAATCAAACACAGTATAGTTGACATGACCATAAATCATAAGCAATAACATACACAATATTATCTATAACTAGAAACACACTAGATTAGACTAGAAACTAAATTAAGGAACACAACAGTAATGGTTTTAGCCAATAGTCCATTCTAATTCAAACGGGAGCATACGCCACATGTTATATTCATTGGGTAATTGCATAAATTATTGAATAGACCTCACTGCCAATATGAATGCTAATTTATTAAACAACATAGTTACCAATAACGAGGCGTTGATGAAAAACATAACAAATATTGAATGTTTTCGTTTTTGTCACTTGTCTGGGTATTACAGTATATTGTGTGGGACTGTATGATTGTTAGGTTCATTACACGATCACTTTTTATGTAATTAAGTGTGTAATAAAATGAAGCATCAAGGGTGATATACATCGATATGTGTGATGACAGCGCTGCGGTGAGAAAAATGAAGACCAAGTGGTGTTTTGGTAAGTTACAATTTTACCTCGTAAATAAAAACATTACCCTCCTTCTTTGGCAGTCGGGTAAAAATAAAATCATCACAAACCTTCGTGCTGACCATTATTTAGTCTTTATTAGCGTAATCATAAATCTATTATTATTTCGATAAACGGACATCGTTTAAAAATCTGAACACAATTCATGATAAGTGAAGAGAAGTAGCATTATCAGATAAAAACATAGGACAATCGCTTGTTTCAATAAAAATACAATGCCTTCTAACATTTTATGAAACAGGTTGAAATACGAACGCTACCCATTTTCCACGGTCCACGGCCATGCAAAGCCAATTT